CTCTCTCCGGCAGCCGCCTTGCCCCTGGGGTTGCCCCTCCGGCCCGGCCGGAGCAGGGCCGGCCCGACAAGCCGGGGCCAGCCCCTCTCCCCGCCGCCCCCCTCACCTCAGGAGAGCAGAGGGGGGGCAGGGGGCCGCCTGCCTCCGCCGGCGGGGGGGGGTGTGTGTGGTGTGTGTTTCACCTCTCAGGGTTTCAAGCCGGGCAGCTGCTTTAACGTCTCGCCAACGTTTTTCCTCTGCGCCGGTTCCCTCTAGTTATCTCTGCTGCCAGTCGCGCTGGTTGCCGGGGCTTTCTTCGCAATCTTAAAAGCAGGTCAGAGCTCGTAACTTTTTTTTTGGGCACAAGGGCTCGGCGACAAGGGTGCCTTGCACTCGCAGACCAGGTTATGGCAGCGCACAAAGGTTTGCTCGCCCTAACACGGTTCCTTTCTGGGATCCGAGTGACAAAACTGTGTGGTGGTCTTGTTTCTGTCAGAATCTGTTCTCACTTCCGTCTTGCAGGAGGGTGCATTGTATTACGTGCATGCCAGAGCCCGCCACAGGCTACATTAGCTGCCTTTCCACACTGCCTTCTATTTTGTCCCAGTTGGCTGGTCTCTTTAACCATACCTTTTACTGCCAAGGGTTTGATGTATCGTGGTGCCATCTCCCACTCTAAAGTCTCCTGGCAGCTTGGTTTGGTCCACTTGTAGTGATGTGATCCAGAAGTCAACGTAGCTGGAGTTTTCTCCCGTTTTTCTGCTATCCCTCCTCTTCATACTTCTAGCTGGTGTTGTTCCAAAAAGTCCTGGATTTTCTTGCCCCCTGTGGAGAAATGGGGAGAGAGGAATTGTGGTGTCTGGATGTGGAAACATTTGTTTTAGAGGCGATGACTGGATATTTTACAATGTGGTACTGTATTAAAACAAATGTTACGAAGATGTCTTATAAGAAAGTAAAGAACAGAAATCAAAACTGCAGTATTTATTGGGTGAACTGTTCATGCCTTAATGAGCTGGACAAGATTTTGATACAGGATGCCAGTATCGATCTGTACTTTGTCTTGGACGCGGCTGATGTGGAAGAGGGCCCAGGAAGACACCAGGGGCTGTATCACTGATTCTTGACAGCCAGGAACCTGACCACAACTCTGATGAAGAGAGAGGAATGCTTTTCTCCCACAACCTGCATTTGTGTTGCAGCCTGTCTTCCATTCCTAGAAATCTGCAGGCACTATGGAGGTGATAGGTAAGCATTTTTTGATCTTTATTACAAGTTGCTTTTCCATACAGCAGGGTACACCTGCTATCTTTTCGCTAGACCTTTCATTCATCCCCATCTCGGATGACAGCTAAGACTATGAGCTCTGCCCCTTGTCTCCAAGTTAGTCTCCCACTATGTGCTCGAAACAGCAATCCCATATGGTGAGAATGCAATAGCTAACCTGTCCCGTCCCCCCCCAGCCCCAATTCCCCCATCTTTCCCAGTCAAATTGCTGCCTCCAATTCCTGCTTAAAATGGTGATTCCCGATGCAGTCAGTTTGTTTGCTAGCTGCTACTTCTGTCCTGGTCTGACCTACCCTGTTGCTGTGTTACATATTTTTCTCCCAGTCCTCCCCCAGTGTGTTGATTGTAAGGTGTGCTCTTTTTAGAGGGAACACTTTGGGATACAGTTATCAAGTGCACCTTGTCAGCTGGTCAAGCAAACTGTTCCATTCATCGGCACAAATTCATTATCGTGTCGATCTTAATGGGTGTTTGCTTTCCCTTCAGTACCAACACACTGCAGCAGTAATCATCTTTCGGGTCAAAACCATATCACACAAGGCTATTAGTGAAGCTGATACTTATATTGGATGTACACTGACAATAGAACATTAATAGCACTTAACCTATGTATGTCCACAAGAAACCGAAAGCAAAATATGACATTACAGAAGGCGCCTTTCCCCTGACTTAGCAATGGCTGGTGGTGGCCTTCCAGCCATGCAAAACATCAGGTTGTGTTATTCTGATAAGGAGCAGCACTACGTACCACATAGTATTTGCTTTGCCCTTAATCTTTATATAGTTTGTCCACCTCATGGATATTGGATGCTTCTTTTGTAAAGACTGCCTGTAGTAGTGCTGATATAACCTTAGCTTAATCTCACTGGTGTTGGGAAATTGCTGTTAATTAATACTACAGCCTCTTGATTGCTGTTGGGTAGTGCAGAATGCACAGTCTAACTTGTCCCCCTGGAGGAAGCTCAGGCAGCGTAGCTATTACCCACCTCTAATGTATGTTAATCCCAAAACTGATCAGAGGAAAGGTGGGAAAAGCCATCTCTCCCCAGTGGTTGGGAAGGAACTTTAGAGATGGCATCTCAAAGGTGTGAGCTGTATTTCTTTCTGCTGTCATGAGAATAAAACAATAACTGGTTGTTACTTTTTTGCCCTATAGGAAATCTGAGGTTGCTAGACCCGCATGGCTCCTTCTGTTAACTGCTCAATGCCTGGCAAAGTGGACAGAACGAAAGTCAAAATTTTTGTCTTTGTGAAAACCTCTGAAAAACAAGAATACGTAGTCCGAGCATGGAGGGGATTGCTCAAAGGTGAAAAGCAGAGAAGCCAAGATGGAGGGCCTCTCTCCAATCAAGGAGATGGCAAAGAGCAGGCTCCCTCTCTCCAGGAAGCTAGCTAAAGAGATCTTCAGAAGAGCTAGTAAAGTCTTGCGGTGACCTAGGAAACTGCAGAACTGGCTGGGGGCTGCGGGCTGCAGAAACAGCTGTTAGAAATACTGAACGGCATTGGAAAGTGTGATCTATGAAAGCTGCTATTTGTTCTACACATCCTTCTCTTGACATCCCGCTATGTCATATCAGCTGTAAGCTTCATCAGCCCCAGGGTAGGCTTTGGAGGCAGCCTACCACTGGAACACCCTTTGCATGGCAGTGAAAGCAGCAGGGTGGGGGAACAGTGTTTTGAGCTGATGTGTGTGGGTACCACGCTGTTTGAGCCCCCAGCCCTCCTGCCTGGCACCATGAAGAAGGACTACAGCGAGCTGCTCAGCTGAAATGTTCCCTGGTACTTTAGACAGCACCCTGCCCTCTCACACTGCTGAAGCATTTAAACTCATAGAAAAATGAAGCTGGTGATGACACTTCAAGAAACTGAAGTTACTGTGCCTCTACACTGGTGGCCCCTGTTATTTTATTGACCTTTATGTGCCTGTTTAATAGATCTTCATGAGTCCCTGACCTGTGCTGGTGCACTAGCCTAAACAGTGAGCCTGTCTGCTGTGCTTCCAGGAATTCCTGAAAGTGCTTGCTGGGCAAAACAAGCCCTACACGTCAACACACCGCCTTCCACTCCTGTCCTGATCAAGCCTCTGAACAGTTGCTGATATCCCACTCAACACAATCACATCCAGTGGTCTCCTTTAAGAAGAAAACAAAACCAAAAGAACAACTAATAAAGGCAAAACAGTCCTTTGTAGCATGAAATAGAATGACTATGTGGCCTTCCAGATCAGAATGCTTTGCTACCCTTTGCAGACCATGCCAAGCAGTTAAAAGGCTGCGATAGGGCACGTGTCTAAAAGAGGCACGTGAAGGTGATTGTGTCTCTTGTAGCTGTCTGGTGCTTGCAGACATGCAGATGCTCTCTGTGACCCTTAACATTTGAGGAAAGCATTGCTTTAGCTGCCTTAAACCTTCTAACTGGCACTTGCTGTCTGTGCTTCAATTTTCCGGATGCCTGCATCGCTATAGTTTTGAAAGCTGCTCAGGCCTTATTTGTAGGGTTTTGGGTTCCCTTACACTCTAGATTTCTAATCAAGTTCTTCATCAACTTTGTAGTAGTAATAGTAGGTGGTAAAGGTAGTTCCTCAAATACACGTTGTGTTAGCTGTGCTAGCGAGTCAGGCTGTGTTAGCAGAGAATTGGGTAGGCTTGAAGATGTAATTAATTGTTGTGAACTGCTGTAAACCATGTGTTTTAGGCAAATCTAGCACAGATTTCAGGCTGGCCTTAGTGTGCATAGTGAAGGGAAGTACGTCTTTCTGGGCATCATTTTTGAACATGTATGTAAGGACAGCTGGTGGAAGTATGGATTCATTGAGTCTTGTAGTGTGGCACAGGCATGCCTACCCACAGAGCTCTTGGTAGGTGGTAGCCTTTACAACTCTTACTAAAAGTGCCTTTTCAACAGCAATGTGTGTCTCAATCACAACAGCTATTGAGCCACTGTGTCAGGATGCTCGGCCACCAACAGACTTGTAACCGTGGAGGCAGCCAGAGAGCAGGTAGCCAATCGGTCCTGAATGGGTGAGGAAGTTCTCCTCGGTCTGCCGCTGCCATGCCACTATTGTGGCCACTCCGTGCGAGTGTCCTCAGCTGCACTGTGTGAGCAACACAGGTTTTTGCCAAAAATGGTGCTGCACCATTCCGTTCTAACAAAAGTCCTTCCTGAAGCACTGTCTCGTTGTCCTCGTTTTCCTATTTGTTTCTGTCCACTCGATGCCTCTGTAGGGAAGGGTGAAGGAAGTTGTGGTTGTTGCAATAGCTTCAGTCAAAACTTGTTGGTAACACAGCTGTTGGCTTGCAAAATGCCGCTCTCCATTGGTGAAACATCCAAATATGCTCGTGCAAACTGCTTTGTATGTCTGCCTCTCAGCATTGTAATGTAATGTACCTAAAGTTTTGGGAGGAGTTTGAAAATAATGCTTATTTGTGCTCTCTCCTTCCCCTCTGCCCCCTCAGAAAACAAAAGAGGGGATCAAGTATGTGAAAGACTTATGAGGTGCTCTAGGTTTTGGTCTGTCTGGCTTCTTCTGGCTGTCCTGTCATGCTTTGGGGGAGCAGCAGTACTCTCTGCAGCGGAGACTGTGGAGTATCCAGCTAAAGGGAATTTCTTTGGAGCAAATAGCTCCTCCCCTTTCTGTTTTTCTTGCATGGAAACATGTATTACACAGAAGTAGAAGTGGGATGTTCACTTGAATGTGGCTTTTAAACATTGGTTACTTCAAAATTAGGTGCTTGGTATTCTTATTTGCTTTGAAGTATATCTTCCAACATCAATGAACTCTGAGCTCAGACAAATAACCTTGTGCAGAGTCACAAGGAAATAGCTGTCAGCGAAGTTGGTTTAAAAAAAAAACCAAACAAAAAAACCAAAACAAACCACCAGAAAAGCTCTTGAAAAAGAGCTTCCTTTTTCAATAAACCACACTGATTGATTGTCCTTATAACTGAAGCTGCTTGTGAAATTATTTGCTTGATGTCTGCCAATTGGATATTTAATCTTTTTTTCCAGCTGGTGATGGTGAGTCCAACTTCAGAGCAGTATGACAGTTTGCTGCGGCAGATGTCAGAGAGAATTGATGAGGGCTGTGGGGAGACCATTTATGTCATTGGTCAAGGATCAGGTGAGTATAGCTTCCTGAGGAAAACAGCAAAAAATGTTAGAATTATAAGAAAAACCTAGTTCATCTAACTGGACTGCTGCTGAAGGTAGTACTTACTTCTCCAGAATAACTTGGAAACCTCCATGACGTATAGCAGAACATGTGGGACAGATTCTTTTATTTTATTCCTGCCAGCAACTGTCTCATGTAGTGGAGCTAAACGTATTTTTTATATAAAATCATACAAGTTCTTTTTGGAAATAAAGCATAAGTTGTATGGGCACACCAGGAGAAGACAAAGGATCTGAAATTACAGTAACGGTTTTAGTACAGACAGCCTCAATGTTTGATGGAGGTCTTGTTCTCTCTGGTTTTGTTTACTTCTCCATTGTAAATAACAATATTCTTACCCCGCAGGAATGTATTGGAGATACTTCAGATAGCCAAATACATGCTGCTGACTTTCTTTCTTTGTGTGTGTCTGTACTACGGAGAGAAAGGTTTTTCCTTTTCTCAGCATGAGGCTTTTATTGTCGCATTAACTCAGGTGTGACTGCAGTCATTTGCCTTTGCAGATTTTAGCAGTTAGCATGGATTACATTTTTGTTCTTTTTCACAATTTGAATATTTGCATCTGATACTGGTAAAATAATATTGACCATGGCCTTGCTTTGAAATTGAAATTCCTTTTCGGAATGCAAAAAAAAAAATAATCTATGGCTATCATAAGGCTAAAGGCTTGTTTCAAACATATTATATATCTGCTGGATATCAAGTTGTTATGATCAGACATTCTACTAGTTACTGTGTTTGAGGAAGAATGCAAACCCCTGGTCATCAGTGCCAGGGTTGGCTGAGATAATGGAGGGAGATAGTTGTGTTACCTCAGAACTGTGTGCTTTTTGGGTTTCCTTGGTGTCTTGCAAAGCAGCCAACACAGAAGAGAAGCCAGGATTAGATGGCCATTGGTCATGCAGCCAAGATCACAGGGATAATGCTTTTGCGTCCAAGCGAGCTTCCCACATGTAGTCTGAACTCTTGGCGTTTGGGATAACCACATCTGCAGCGGAGACCTAGCTAGTCAGGCTAGTAACTGCTTTCTGCTCTAGGATACCTTGTGAGGGTGTTAACTGGTGATTTTTGCAACGATATGCTTAGAAGTAGGCATTTGTTTCTTAAAATGAGAGCTAAAACTTCTGACTTCATTTTGGGTTGCTGCATAGTCAAGGAAGATGAGGATCTTTTCTGTAAATTTGAAACAATAGCCAACAGGAAAAAAAAGTCTTGATATCCCTGCCACCATCCCTCCTTCTCATTCACTTGGAGTGTCTATGATTTTGATCATCATGGATACCCAACGCGGATGGCTGAGAAGCGAGTGAAGACTTCTGCTTCACCAGTAGCGACCCCTCCCTTCCTCCCTTGGCTCTACCCTCTCCTGTCCCCAACTTCTCATTCCCTGTCTATGACCCAATACCCCAGGCCCTGGTGCTTTTTGATTTCCCCACCGCCTCAACAGCTTCTCAGCCAGCTTATGAGCTAGGGTGGAAGTCACCCAGCAACTCTACTTGTTGTAGAGCCGTGCCATAGTTAAAATGCTGATTAGTTCGTGCAAACTGCAGTTACTGCTTACCAGCTGATGAGTCAGCTGTGCATGTGAATGCGCACACAGCGATAGCTTTGGTCATCCAGGTGCTATGTGGCTCTCCACCTTTGTTTGTTGGTTGTTTTTTGTTTTTTTTTTAACCCACACAGGAGATTCTGGCCTGAAATCTGCGCAGCTTCGCAGCAGCTGGGTTAAGAGAGCAGCTGAGGGCTGTGGTGGCCTTTAAACAGTCTAGATGGTTGCCACTGGCTTGCTCTGACTGTCAGCTCTTTGCTTGGGTGGGCTGTTCAGGGGCAGCAGTGCCTCCTTGGGTTTTTTTGGCCTCACACGCTGTCAGCATTTCTTTAAATTGCCAGGACGAAAGCAATGAGACATGCCAAAAACATTGTTTTAACTGGAGTACGTGGGGGCTAAAGAAATTGCTGGGCAGGCCAGAGTTGCAGAAAATGTACACTTGGGATGAGGTTTTATAAAATAAGCTGATTGTTTAAATTGGTCCCACATTCACTGGTTAATTGTGGTGATATTTCAGTCTGAGCTTTCCTTTTGTTAATGCTTTTCCCTTTATTGCAATGCAAGAGGAGATGTTTTATCTAACTGAAGGAAATTGCACGCAAAGTACCTTCAGCCTGCGAAGTAAGGGAATTAGATAGAAATGTGTCTTTCTTGCCAATCCCTGAGTATTTGCTTGTAGCAATTGTGAAGAAAACTCCTGTAGATGAAAGATGGTGCTTTTCTAGTATCTTTTAAGACTTAGAGTGAAGACCATCCCTTTTTATTGTGGGCAAAGGGTGCCTGTTCTGTTCACATGGCCGACACCTCCAGTCTACATATAAATCCCGATTGGTGTGAAAGTCCCCGGCAGAATGACACTGCTGCTGACCGTTGCAAGGTGGTGCTCACTGACTGCCCTTTGTCTCCTCAACATCACACTAGACGGGACTGAATACGGTCTGAGCGAGGCGGACATGGAAGCATCCTATGCCACGTTGAAGAGCATGGCAGAGCAGATCGAGGCAGACGTGATCCTCCTGCGGGAGCACCAGGAGGCGGGGGGCAAGGTGCGCGACTACCTCGTACGGAAACGTGTGGGTGACAACGACTTCCTGGAGGTCAGGTGAGGAGCCGGGTGGAGACAGGGTTAGTCAGCAGCCCAGCTGCATTTTTAGCCTGTGAGCAGTCGGTGATGCTGAGCCAGCAACGCTGTTTCGAGTCTGGGTGTTGCAGCTGCCCAACAAAGGGAATGGAGCTTGGCCACTCCTTGCTAATGAAATTGCCTTTTTGTTGTTGTTGCTGTCTCTTTTGTGAACAAACTGTTTGTGGAGATTTGCCTGCGTTTAGCTGAGGGCTGTTGCTCTCTGGGTGACAGCTTCACAGTTTGGGGATCTTTTGTGGAATTCCAGTGGGGAGTCACATACACGCGCAGATATAGACACACGTGCACATATGCATGCTGCTGGAATACAGTACTTTTGACTAAGGGTTCGATGCTATTCCAAAACTGTGATGATCCAAGTCACCTTTTAATGGACATCTAATAGCTTGTGTAGCATGACTTGAGAGTCTGCCCAGACCTGGATGGAATGGATTTCCAGCGTTTGCCAACAGCCGTAATACCCACCTTTATCAGACACAAGGAAGGAGATTGCTGTAGGAGAGGGTTTTCCCCTAAAACATTTAATTGTTCTTTGAGCTTTTCCTTTTCTGGGAACAGCGATTTAAATTTCTGTGCTCTCCCTAGCACCTGGTGCTACTGCAACAGACAAATAGGAAGAAGGCAGAGGTATTCTACACCAAGTTGGGATTTAGACTTTCTTTTGAATTGCCATATGTATGCGTTGGATTGCAGAGACTTGGAGTTGGACAATAAACATTTTGTATAGCATCAAGCAATGTTGAGTTCAGCTGTCTCTGTTTAGGGTACCGGTGACATGTTTCCACAGTCTGGGATCTCCGCTGTTAACTAATAACTGTGAAATAATCTCTGCTCTGCTTGTGAAGGTCTAACATTCTTGAATCTCTCTTTGAAGGTTAGGCAGAAAAAGCTAGTTATTTGCAGGAACAGTGGTGTTTGTTTTTTTTTTTTTTTTATTGCTTGTTTGTTTCTTCAGGTATTGGATTTTACCAGATTCCTTTTTCCTTTTCCCCTCCAGGGTAGCAGTGGTTGGCAATGTGGATGCAGGGAAGAGCACATTGCTAGGTGTCTTGACACATGGCGAACTAGACAATGGCAGAGGCTTTGCTCGGCAAAAGCTCTTCCGCCATAAGCATGAGATTGAGTCAGGCCGCACCAGCAGTGTGGGCAATGACATTCTGGGCTTCGACAGTGAGGGCAACGTGGTGAACAAGCCTGACAGCCACGGTGGCAGCTTGGAATGGACAAAGATCTGTGAGAAATCCACCAAGGTCATTACTTTCATTGACCTGGCTGGTCACGAAAAGTACCTGAAAACCACCGTCTTTGGCATGACCGGCCATTTACCTGACTTCTGCATGCTTATGGTAGGTAGCAAGAAAGATGTATGGTACCAGCATGAGCGAGGCTGTTCACAGCTTTAACAGCCTCAACTTCTTTCCTACTGCCAAGTGCCTATGGTGTTGTGGAGGGGAGGCAGCATCTCCCAGAGGTGGAGAGCAGCAACCACTGTGGATATCTAGCCAGGGCTCTGAGGCAAGTGCCCCAGGACTGTCAGACTCAGGTGGGCCCAAGGTGTCTGGTTCTTGAAAACTGAAAGATTTGTAAACTCCAGAATACCTTGCTAAAATTGAGGAGCAATGAGTCCTTAGCCAGTGTCCAACAGCATTTGAAATGGGCTGGGTCTGCTCATACAGTCCCAGTGATGCATCTACAACCTAATCACAGCCTATTGCATGTCTGACACAAGACCTTCTCTGAAACCCAGTTCACTGCAGGACGAACGTTTACATTGCCATGTCTTGTATCCCTGGTGTAGGTTGGCAGTAACGCTGGGATTGTTGGAATGACCAAGGAGCATTTGGGCCTGGCGCTTGCACTTAACGTTCCCGTCTTTGTTGTGGTGACCAAGATCGACATGTGTCCTGCCAACATCCTGCAAGGTGAGTCTTACAAGCTCTCTCCCGGGCTGTTTCTTACCTCTGTGTGTGCTGTTGTCCTCTGCTTGGGTTGAGGAATTACTGCTGGAGGAAAGCTGCCTTCTCTGGTTTTGAGTGCATTTTAAATACCTTCCAGAAATCTATCCTTTTTCCTTGCCCATTTTGCAGGCAGTTCACTCGTAGTCACCTTTTCAAAATTACCCGAGTTGGGGGACTCAGCTGGGAAACCTGAAAGTGTTTGCTACAGGGTTTTGCTTAACTGAGCTCTAAGGGGAGAAGGTTATGGTTGTTGTGGCTTCATGTTCTCTCTGGGTATTTAAACCTGGAGGGAAAGCCTGGAAGTTCTCTTGAAAGCTGCTTTCCTTCTTGCCCACAGTTTGGGTATGATCTTAAGCTGTGATCAAGCTTGTTCTCTGGCAGCCGTTCGGTGAAGGGGCAGCTGATTGTTACATCCTGCTCACCTGGGCATTTCTCAGATACGCTGGCACAACTACAGCAGCTCCTTCCTCTGAACAACCAACCAACACTTAATAAATCATGGTTCAAAGCAGCTGCGTATGTGGGCTGTGGTAGCAGGACTGCACCGGACACAAGTGGGGATGGCAATGAGCAGCAGGGGCTAGTGACTTCTTTGCTCAGCTGCAGTTAAAGCAGCACCTCTAACCCCAGCAGTGACCCTTTAACCTGTGCTTGACATTTTTTCAGGCTGTGACCAACTCTCACCTTTAAAATTTTCTTGATGCATTTCTCACACCTTCAGGAACATGCTGTGGTTAATTGGAGCAATGCTTTTTTTTTTTTTGATAAGCAGTCCCGAGAATCAGGAAAATGAATGCTCCCGGTACTGCCTGTGGTTAGTTTGTTATTGTAAAAATCCTGAATACGTTTCAGGTAAACAGACGCATGTAATCAAAAGATAATGTAAATATCTCTATAATAGATGTTTGGGAAATAAAGGTAAGACCCGACCATAAGATAATAACTGGGAAGGAAGGAGAACATTTGGCTCAGGTTCAGGAGAGAAGAGCTGCTCTTGGGAGAAGCCACTCCTGTGTCATGTTCTGTTTAAATTAAATAGACACAAGATTTGGCTCAAGTGTATCTGTGAAGAGCAGATGGCATGATTAGATGTTTGTGTTTCTGTATCCAAAACATTACTTTCCCATAGGCAATCATTTGTTCACAAAAAACATCTAATTGGATGACAATTGTAGAATATAAATGATTTGCTCTTTTAAGCCCTTAATAGCCTTTTATTTCCCCCCTCATTTATTAAAAGGTGCTTTGCAGGAGGCTGATGCTAGTGCATCAGGTAATGCCCCTGCTGGCTGATAGATATGAGGCTTAGAAAATAACTTAAAAAGAGACAAGAGATCAAAGTTGGAAGCCATGAGATTTGTCCCAAAATATTTATTTCTGGATCTTGTCCACCTACACTGTCCTAGTCTGTGAGGGTGGTCTTTACCTCTTTCATGCTTCTTCTGACCTTCTAGGGCAGGTTGATTGCTAGGCAAAGTGTGTTGAGGTTTGTTTGGTCAAAATTGATTTCTAATTCATGTATTCTCAAATATATCTGTTCCTGAGTGCTGCTGGTTTTCATTAAATTCAGTATGAAAGATCCTTTATAGTACTAGGAAATACCTTGTAACTGCTTCAAGCTACTTAACAGACAGCTATAAAATCTGTACTTCACAGTATTGCACTTGCAGATGCGAATATGTATGTCTGTTCATGTATGGTGTCACTTGGCAGCAAGCTAACTGGCATGAAATGGAAGATGGAATGGCTCCTAAGTCCCTCCTGGGCTGCAGCAAACTCATAGTCTCACTCACGTACCTTTAGCCATCTTCTCCTGTCTGTTTGTGGCAAGAGCACCCGTCTCCCTTCAGGGGGAGACCCCACAAAAGCGATTTGTAAAAGACGGGAGATGCTGCCCTAACAATATTCATTTCACCCTTTAAGAAACCCTGAAGCTGTTACAGCGACTGCTGAAGTCCCCAGGGTGCAGGAAGATTCCCGTGCTGGTTCAGAGCAAGGATGATGTCATTGTAACAGCCTCCAACTTCAGCTCAGAGAGGTAACGGGAGTAGAGGAGAGTCGTTTCTCTTTCAATCCTATTTGGAGACTGGGTGAGAAGATTCAGAAAGAGAATCCCATTGTCTAGATGTGTGAAGGTTGCATCTGCCATGTGGTGTGTTGATTCCATAAGAATGTGTTGATTCTGAGATTGACCTGCTTGCGGTCCCCTCTGTGAGGCAGAAATGAGAGGCTGCTTCTGGGCAGCCTACAGAAGATGCAGGGTATTCGGCTTCCTTCAGTCCTGGAACCTTCCACCTGTTCCTGAATGTCATTAGAAGGCAGAGGCAACGTTGCAGGTTTTCAAACATGGGGTGTTGTGCATCTGACTGCTTGCCAGGCTCTCCCTTCCTAGCACTCTGTATTGAATTCAGTCCCAAGATTTTGGATGTCTTGAACTAACTCCATTTTCGTTTACAGGATGTGCCCGATTTTCCAGATTTCAAATGTCACTGGGGAGAACCTAGATTTGCTGAAGATGTTTCTTAATCTCTTGTCTCCACGGACCAGTTACAGGGAAGAAGAGCCAGCAGAATTCCAGATAGATGATACTTACTCTGTCCCGGTAAGGGGCCTGGTATTTCGAGAATTTTCTGCTCCCTCTCTCAGGTTGAAGAAGGCATCTTCCTTAGAGAGGGCAGTTCTAAAGCTCTTCTGCTAGCGTGGCTGAGTGACCCCAATTACTGTTTTTTCTTTGTTGGCATAGGGCGTAGGAACAGTTGTGTCTGGGACGACACTGAGGGGCCTAATCAAGCTAAATGACACCCTGCTGCTGGGGCCAGATCCCCTTGGCAACTTCCTACCTATTGCTGTCAAGTCCATCCACCGCAAGAGAATGCCCGTCAAAGAAGTGCGGGGAGGCCAGACTGCCTCCTTTGCTTTGAAAAAGGTGAGATGATCTCCTCTAGACCCTCAGAACAGGAACCACCCTCCTAATTTTAGAGCGCTCTTGGATTTCAGCCGCAATCAGACTGCTTCTGCAAACCTCAGCTGCCTTATTTCACAGCCCGTTAGAAATCCCATAGAACCTCTGTGGGTCCCGTGTCCCAGCTGCTCCAGTTGACAGCTGCCTGGTAAAAGCAGTGGGACCCAAGATAATGAGGAGTAGCGTTGGAGGTGTGTTACAAAACAGAGGCGTTGCAAGAAAAGTTTCCTCTTGTGGTCCAACTGCATTAGTGGCCTGAGCAGGGTATTTACACCCTCCACTTTATTCCTCTCAACTTGTAGGGCCATTATTTGAGGTTTAAAAATCAGCAAAATTTCATGTGATTCCTCTGGTGAAAAGTTTCCATCAATAGAAGCTGCACTGATTTTAAGGAGATATAGATTAAGCTCTACCAAACTTCATGTCTTCAGTCTTATCATTTTGTGTTAACAGACATCATGCTTTTGGAGAGATCATCTGCTTGGGTAATGTGCAACCAGGATGTATGTTTTGCTTTTAAAGGATCAGTGAGTTAAAACTTCTGCGTCCAGTATTCCCAGCTCTCTAACTAAAGCTTCCTCAGAAACTTCAGCTGAACTTGGTTTTTGCAGCCTTTGCATAACATCATTACATACTGCTAAACAGCTCTGGCTTTGCCTTTTGGTGAGCATGAGTTAATATTTGTGAAATCCCTTAGGATCCTTCTGGATGCAGTCAGCCAGAGAAGCATATTTCTTCCCTGGAGAATCATGCTAAGATTTTTTGTGTCTCTGCTTTTCAGATAAAGCGTTCTTCCATCCGGAAAGGCATGGTAATGGTGTCACCCCGCCTGAATCCACAAGCATCGTGGGAGTTTGAAGCAGAGATTCTGGTGCTCCATCACCCCACCACCATCAGTCCACGATATCAGGCCATGGGTATGTGTCTCAGCGTTGTCTCATCTTTGTTTCCCAGTGGTAACAGTTTATATCAGCTCTAGCCCGAGACCATTTTTCTCCTGATGGTTCTGTCAGCCTGAATATAAGCCATGGTTCCTGGTTTGACCTTTCCCAGCAATGCAATAGAGAGAGGGGAGGGAGCTGACAGAGGAGAATGGCGAAGGCTGCAGGTAAAAAGGAGTTGTGTGACTCCAAGTGTACTTGGAGCTTGCCTGAGCCAGATCTCCATGGTGCAAAGATTCTTCAGCTTCAGATGCTGACTGAGAGACTCATTTTAGGTCCTGCCCTCTAGCCTGGCTGGTTGGCATGTAGGATTCCATTGAGGATGTCTCAGCAAAGTCTCTGTTCGAAGGCAACTGTTCGAGCTTGTATGTGGGATTTTTTTTGAGGACTGAAAAAAGGCAGCCATGTGATCCATATAGTCTGTGGTACACAGTAGATTTTTGCATTCCAAACTCCGCGCTGTTAGCTGTAGGGTAGCGAGAGCTGCCTTAGATGTCTGAAGCTTATTCCACTAATGGCACTGGCTGTTGAAAGCCTTTGTGCATTACATTCACAGTGCATTGTGGTAGCATCCGTCAGACGGCCACGATTCTCAGCATGGACAAGGACTGCCTGCGGACGGGGGACAAAGCCACAGTGCACTTTCGCTTCATCAAAACCCCGGAATATTTACATATAGACCAGCGTCTGGTCTTCCGTGAAGGCCGCACCAAAGCTGTGGGTACCATCACTAAGGTAAAGGCTGAAGAGTCCGACTTTTTTTTGCCCATTAGCTACTTTTGGCACTGAGAAGGCAGCAGGGGAATCCAGGTGGCTCTGGAAAATTGAGGGAAGAGGCCGTCCTTTGATCACAAACGTCAGCCCTGACATAGGTCGCAGTTGACCAATGTGCTTTGTTGTGTGGTGGGTCTTACCTGGTGTGAATGAGGGAATGTGAAGCTGGGGGTGAGCCAGATGACTCTGGTTCATACAGCTTAGTCTCTGACGGCTCATAGCTGGTCCCTTTGAGTCATATTGAGGAGGGCTGAGTATTGCCTCAGATGAGTGGGCCTTTCCACCCTGTAAGGGTTCTTGAGGGCAGCTCAGGGGCCTAGATTTCTTTGAACAGCAGCTGCTGCTGTATTCTTCTCCCTATAGCTATTGGTATCAATTCTCTCAGAGCTTTTTCTTAAAAAGCAGCGTTGAACCTTGCCATATTGGCCTCGCTATTTTAATGCTGATTTTGGCCTCTCCGTTTGTAATTCGCAGTTACTCCAGACCACCAATAACTCACCAATGAACTCCAAGCCACAGCAGATCAAGATGCAGTCAACAAAGAAGGGAGCTGTTACGAAACGAGAGGATGGTGTTCCCCCAGCTGGGACGGCAGCTGGAGGCCCACCAGCCGGGGACGAGGCCCCCTCAACAGCCGCAGTGCCACTGACACCTACTGCCCTGCAACCATTGGTAAGTGAGGAAAATACCATGTCTGTCCTAGCTGTTTGCATCCTGGTTTCATCTGTTGGAGGAAAGGCACTCTAAAGCATAAGCGTTATCCCCTCATACTCTTGAACTCACTTTGGGACTCAATGTGCAATAGAAACACATAGAAATATAGTAGTCTCACAGCAGAAATCAGAATTCTCTGATGACTGGATGACTCCTTGTGGCTGACCTTTCAGCAGCTAGCAGCTTAGGGTCCTGGGACAATTTGAGTTGGACTTCAGGAAGTATCTAATCTAACCTCCTCCTCTAAGTAGGATTAGCTGTGAGGTCAGACCAGGTTGCTCAGGGTTTTATCCAGTCATGTCTTGAAAAGCTCCAAGGAGGAAGACTGCACAACCTCCCTTGGCATCGTGTTTCGCTACTTGACTGTGCTTACAGTGAAGAAGCATCTCCATATAACCAGTAGCTGAACTAGTGAAGCATCTAACAACCAGTCACAGAATGGGTCTCTGCTCTCTGAATGAGAGGTAGAACATCCCTACACTAGAGAAATTACAACCTAAATAGTAGTATCAGACACAGGTCGTCTGCTCTGTCAAGGAGAGAGGATGGAGATTTCCAAGGAGGAGGAAAGACTTACCTTTTTCGAGAGAAATTTATCCAGGTTGTTTTGTTGGTTAGGACTTCTCAGCTCGGCTTGTCCGAGGATACCTAGCCTTTCTGGCCCGAAAGGAATGGAAACTCAATTCTAACTGCAGGCTCTGGGAGCTATTTATCAGCTTTATTACACGGATCTTCTCCTTTTAGTGTACTCATCTAGTAAACAAAAGGTTCAGGAGCTGACTCTGTGACAGGACCTGGTCAGTGTTCCCCCTCTTAATTTTAGCTATCTTAGTTGTCATTGGTCAAATCTCACCCTCTTGAGCCAGGCTGGCTGCTGAAAGAGGGCCCTCTGGCAGGGGTCGTCTCCCTTTGCATGTGCCTGTGGCTTCTTACAGATACGCTGTCTCCTCCTTGTCTTGTAGCATCACTGTGGTTGTAAGTAGTTCTCCGAGCTTGCTCCTTGTTTCGTCCCTCCCCCTGAGAGTCTGTGTTGCTTTTGTTCTTGCTTACCTCTGCCTCTTTCTCCTTGCTGCTTCCCCTCAGCCTGCACTGGACGAAGAGCCCCACATCCGTGAGGGCAATAAGGTATTTGGCTGCTTTAAAAGAGTGGTGGGCTTGTTGGCCTGAGGCTGGAAACAGAGTTAGCAAGAGAGCCCTGGTAGGGGGGTGGGGGGCTCTCCTTGCATTCTGCTCAAAGCCAAGGGAGCCTGAGGCCTTGATTTCCCAGATGCTGAGTCCCACAGGACCTACTGACTCTTATGGAAGTGAAGCATTCAGAAAATTGGGAAATCAGGTCCTCCCCAGCTTGAAGGGCTGAACTTCATGGTGTATCTGTATCTCCTCCTTCCTTCATGGTGTGTCTGTCTGTCTGCCTTATCTCCTTCCTGCGGTGGCAGGAAGCTGATCGGTCACAACTGCCCTCCTGCTGTCTGGACATGTGTGTAATCCATCTGAGCTCCTGCTGTGTTGATACTCTGATTCGGAGGTCGCTGCGCACTAAAGTGTATCTTCTTGTTTTTCAGTCAAAAGTCGGAGGAGGAGGCCGGCGACGTGGGGGTCAGCGCCATAAAGTGAAGTCTCAGGGAGCCTGTGTGACTCCTGCCAGTGGCTGCTGAATTTCTTACTCCTCCTCCCTCTGAGGAATTCCTCCCCTTCCCTTCATTTGTTATCCAAAAGATCCAGAGCAGCTTAAACCAAAACCCATCCCAGCTGATTGGCTGCAGAGGAATCGTCCCTCCTCCCTGAAGGAAGCAATGGAGAGGAGCATGATTTGTAAGCTAATGAAGGTGATAAGACACACAGAACTGAGTAACTGACACCTTCCTCCTCCCCCTATCGACACATTTTTGTACATCATGGGCTTAGTTTTTATTCTTATTAGTTTTTATTATATTTTGTGTGCATGAAGATGAGAGGAGAGTCTGGATAGAACTGCGAAGAGCCAGTTAGCTGCCTCCCTCCTCCCTCACCCCGTTCTGTCCACAGGACTTGCTGCTCTCCTCCTGTTTGCTGTCTCAGATCCAGGGGTTATCAAACGCCTGAAATGTCAGACTTGAAAAGGTTAAACCATGTTGCTTAGGGTGGCTCCATAGGGCATTGTTTCCTCACCACTGTGGCCCCGTGCCAAATATGTTTCTGGATTCCCTCCATCATAAACTATTTCTAAGTGGGTTTAATTTAATGGTGTAGTGACCAAAGTTTGAAGGAGATGGTAAGAAATATCTTTATTTGGAGGTTTGAGAAGGAAGCAAATTGGAAAGCAGTCCTTGGTGTTGAGGAATCCTGTACTAAATACCCTTCTCAAATACGTTGATAGCACTTAAGATTTTAATTAGAGACAGAATATAAACGGGCAGTCATTTGCCCATCCTGTTCCCCTTCCCGTCGTGCTGCTTTTCCTATTGTTTGTTCAGTGCACATTGGAGCAAATCTAAGCCGGTTCTCAAGGCTGCGGCAGCTCAATTGACAGTATTAAGAATATAGTGCAGGAACACTCGGTCCATCCCTTGAGCCAGAGAAAGCCTTCTCACCTCGATGGACAGAGATCACAGGTGGGAATATACCTTTGGAACAGAGACACCAGGAAAACATGACTTTCCCTTGACTTTGTTTACTCTAAGATTTCCCAAATCTTTTCTGGAACTCACTTTGCCGTGGCAGAGGTATGATTTGTCTTCTCCCCTCTTGGCTGAAGAGGGCAATAATGAATTGGTACCAAACTTACAGAAGTGCTTTCAGGTTTGGAAGTACGTGGTAATTTTTCTGACTTTCACTTCTTCTTTTTAAGACTGTAATTTTTTTTTTTAATGGCAAATTCTGGCTTCTGCAGGAAGGACCTGCAAAGACAGTCTATGAATCAGCTTTATTGTTATCATGTGTTTTTTAACCCCCGGTTGCGCAAGTGATCAGTTCCCTGCGTATTTTGATCTCTTCTTCTAACCCTGTCTCTTCGCTTTGCTCCCATGAGGACAGGAGTTATCCTCTGCCAGCTTGTGGTGAGCTGTGGGAGCGTGGTAGCATTTTGAGGGAGGAGGCGGCATCCTCAGCAAATCGTTGCTCTCCCCAGCAGGTGCGGTCAGCCTCGGTTTCTTTGAGGGCTTCCTCCTCCAATGAAGGACTTTTATTTTAATTAGAGGGAGACTGAAAGGTTTCTGTCCCTCCTTAGCGGGTTGTTCCTGTTCCTCACTCTGTGGAGTTCATTCCAGTTCACCTTGGGATTCGAGGGAGGCTTTCAAGCCGAGTGAGTGACAGCAGGCTTGGGGGGGGTAAAGAGCGCATCTCCTGATGCCGGCACCAGCACTCCAAGAGCATTAAGCGGCGTCGGAGAGGTGAGGAACGTGGTTTGGAGATGAGGTTACTTTGCCTTAGAGACTGCAGTGGCCTAAGTGTGGGTGGAAGCGGGGAGGTGAGACAGTCCTTTCCAAGCTATGTGCCTAAATACCAGCACTTCCCTGGCGAGGGAGGAACTATAGGCGGCTACAACACTAATAGCACCCGCATTGTGAGGGGGTGTGAAGTGTGGCTAAGCAGGGCACGAGGGCCTGGTTCATTTGTCTTCTGGCCCTGTAGCAGCATCAAACTGCATCTGATTTCACTGCCCTCTGCTTCCCAGGGGATCAGGGAGCTCCAGGCGGTTTTCTTTTTCTCCATTCCTTGTGCTCCAAATGAAGGAGACTGCCGAGACTGGAAGAGGGTTTACTTCAGTTTGTGCAAAGGAGGTGGTGTGATCTCTCTTTTGTGACCAGCATTCAAAGATCACTCAGGCTGGTGTGATCTATAAAATAAATTTTAAAAAAGTTTGTTCCAAGTTAAAAGTATGTCTTGTTGCTTTTTCGTCCTGCTGGAAAACCAGCAGTCGCTGCTTTAACGCCGAAAGCTGGACCAAGTGGGTTTGCCTGGCACCGTGCTCCTTTGCTGGCTACGAGAGGAGGCTGTGTTTGGCATGCCGGGCAGGGGAGGGCATGCCATGCCGCAGGAGAGCTGCTGCGGACCCTCTGCCCAAGATTTAGTGCTTCTCAGTGGCAGAGTGGTGAAATGAGAACGCTTGCATGGTGTGAGCTATGCTGTGGGAGATGCGTACGTTTGTGTGTGTGTGTGTGAAGAGCTGCTATAGCAAATCACTTGGGTCCAAATCCCGTCAGAGACACTTTGCTAGAGGATGCAGTTTCAGCACAGCGCTACTGCTTGTGCTTCCCCGGGGCCCTTGCAGCGATTTGCACCTCACCTGCTTCTATAAATACAGCGGGACTCTCCAGGGCTTGGAATGGGCCTTTTCCTGCCTCCTTGGGTTCCAAAGGCTTTTCCTGCCCTGCACACCCCTTTTCTAACACAGGTAAGTGTTGGGCAGGGAGCTGGTGGTAGATGGAGCATAGGGCCACCAGCCCCTCTACTATGGACACCTGCAGGAACTGGAGATGCTGCTGGAGGTGCACTCATCCCTCTGCTCATGGCTATGGCTGTACGTCAGCCCTTGGGCCTGAGCACCTGATACCCCATCCCTTCCCATCTCTTGTCCAATTTCCTTTCTACTTGTTC